AACCATCGGATGGAAGACCTCTCTCTCTCTCTCTCTCTCTCTGTCTACCTCTCTACCTCTCTGTAACTCTGTCTTTCAAATAAATAAAATAAATCTTTAAAAAATATAAAAAATAGTGCATGGCACATAGTGGCCAGTAAATATTTGTCAACTAACTAACTACAGATCAACTAACTAACTACAGATCCTCAAAGCCCAAGTTCAGTGGCAGACTCTGATCTCATGTAAGCTAAGCCAGGGTGAAGGCAACACTCTTTTCTTGTTCTTATTTTTAATGGCTACATAATATCTCATTGCTTGTTATTCCTATACGTTCCTATAACCTATCCCTTATTTAGTCTTAACTATTCCTCTATTTTGGACATTTAGATTGTTTCCATTTTTTTTTCACCATGGAAAAGAACACTGAGATGAACATGCTAGTACACACACACACACACACACACTTTAAAAGATTTATTTATTTATTTGAGATGCAGAGTTACAGACAGAGACAGGGAGAGACACAGAGAGAGGTCTTCCTTCTGCTGGTTCACTCCCCAAATGGCCACAATGACCGGAGCTGGGCCGATCCAAAACCAGGAGCCAGGAGCCAGGAGCTTCTTCCGGATCTCCCACATGGGTGCAGGGGCCCAAGCATTTGGGCCATCTTCCATTGCTTTCCCAGGCCATTAGCAGCCAGTTGGATCTGAAGTGGAGCAGTTGAGACTCAAACCAGCACCCATATGGGATGGCAGCATTGCAGGCGGAGGCTTAGCCTACTAAGCCACAGCACCAGCCCCAGTATCATATTTTTCCCTCTCTTTTCTAAATGTTGTCTTGGGCTATATTTCCAGCCCAAAGTACAAGGGATCATTTTCCAGAAAACTTTCATATCCTCTAGCAGTGTATTAAAGTACCAGTGTCTGGTACGCAGGTGGTTTAGTGGTTAAGACGTCCACGTTTGATCCCTGGCTCTGCTCCTGACTCCACCTTCCTGGTAATGCAGACCCAGGCAAGCAATGGTTGATCACTAAAGTAGTTGGATTGAATTCTGGTTCCTGGCTTCGGCTTTGGGTTTTTTTGGGGGAGTGGGCCAGTAGATGGGAGTTCTCTCTCTTTCAAATAAATAATAAATAAAATATAAAAAGCCAATGTGTAAGAGTACTTCAAAAAGTTCATGGAAAATTAGAATTAAAATAATTTTGGTGCAAAAAGTTTTAAAATTCATTCATAGCCTTTTCATATTACCATTTTCCACAGACTCTTTGAAAAACCTTTCCTATGTGTAAAATGTAAAGTACTGTAAGAATATACTGACGCCACATGGGAGAAATTCTTCCTGAGAATCAGCTCCGAGATCCTGAAGAACTGGGTAGAACAAAGCGCAGACAGCAAACTGAGCTGTAGGGCACTAAGTCAGAACAGGTCTGCTGTCTGCCCTGCAAAGATAGGAGATGAGTGTTCTTCAGATAGGAAACAGGAACTCAGTGGGTGGACCTAAAAGGGAGTGTGGCTTTGAAACAGGAAAAAAAGAAGTCTGCTGCTGATAGTGAAAAAGACACACTGCTGCCAGCCCTGCTCGCCGGACCTTCATCCTGCATCTGTCCTCACGTTCTGTTTATACTCGTGTTTTGTTTGCTAAGTGCTGCACGGTTTCATCTGGGTGCTTTTCAATTTTTTCCATTTCAAGAATGACATCCAACAAGTTCAAGTCACAAAGCAAACAGTTATTTGATACTTCCTCTTCCTCATTCTCTACCTCCAATCCTTCACCAAAGTTCTGATGATTCTATCTCAGAAACATTTCTCTGTTTTACTTTTCTCATCTTGACTTCCAACAGTCTTAATTTTTTAAAAATTTATTTACTTACTTTCTTTTTATTTGAAAGTCAGAGATAAAGCAAGAATGAGAGTGAGAGAGAATTTGTCATCTGCTGTTCACTTCCTAAATGCCCATCAGCCAGGGCTGGACCAGGCACAAGCCAGGAGCTTGGAACTCTATCTGGGTCTCCTATGTGGGTGGCAGGAACTCAATTATTTGGGCCTGCTCCCTCCCAGGATCACATTATGAGAAAACTGGATCACAGGTGGAGTTAGGACTCAGTCTTAGGCACTCTGATATGGGAGGTGGATGTCCCAAGCAGTGGCTTAAGGCTCTATGCCAAACGCTCACCACCTTGACTTCCAATATTCTCATCCAAGCTGCATCATTTCTTGCCTAGACTGCTGCAGTGCCCTCCCACCTCATTTTCTTTGTGCCATTCTTGCTTTTGCTAGATCATTTCCAAATTTCTGCCCTAGTGATATTTGAAAAAAAGAGATGATGTAATTTCTCACGATTTCTTTCCCTAAAAAGGTAAAATCAAAAGCCCTTAATTTGGCCTACAATGCTTTGCATAATTTGATCCCTGCTCACTTCTCCAAGCCCACATTTTGCCTCTTTCCACTTTTTTCTACGTTTCAGCCACAGTGGCTCTTCTGTTCTTGATTCTTGTCTCAGCAACTCCCAGCCTTTCCCTGCACCTGGAATGCTTGTCCTGCCAACCTTCACCTAGCTATTTCCCACTTGTCTGGCAGGTCAGTTTAAACGTCACTTCCACAGACAGACTCTCATAGGCAGTTTCTTCTTTTTCCTTTTTAAGAAATTAAGAATGTATGTTTTGGGGCTGGCATTGTGGTATAGTGGGTAAAGCTGCCGCCTGCCCATATGGGTATCCATATGGGCACTGGTTCTAGTTCCGGCTGCTCCACTTCCAACCCAGCTCCATGTTAATGCACCTAGGAAAGCAGCAGAAGAGGGCCCAAGTCCTTGGGCCCCTGCACACATGTGGGAGACCTGGAAGAAAGTCCTGGCTCTCAGCTTCTGTCTGGTCCAGCCTTGGTCATTGTGGTCATTTGGGGAGTGAACCAGCAAATGGAAGATCTGTCTCTCTCTTTGTCTGTCTCCTCTCTCTCTCTGTAACTGTACCTTTCAAATAAATTAAAATAAATCTTCTGGGGCCAGCGCTGTGGCTCAGTCAGTTAACGCTCTGGCCTGAAGTGCCAGCATCCCATATGGGCGCCGGTTCTAGTCCTGGCTGCTCCTCTTCCAGTCCAGCTCTCCGCTATGGCCTGGGAAAGCAGTAGAAGATGGCCCAAGTCCTTGGGCCCCTGCACCCTCATGGGAGACCCAGAAGAAGCTCCTGGCTCCTGGCCTCGGATCAGCACAGCTCCAGCCATTGTGGCCAACTGGGGAGTGAACCATCGGATGGAAGACCTCTCTCTCTCTCTTTCTGCCTTTCCTCTTCTGTATAACTCTTTCAAATAAATAAATAAATCTTTTTTTTTTTTGACAGGCAGAGTTAGACAGTGAGAGAGAAAGAGACAGAAAGGTCTTCCTTTTTCCGTTGGTTCAGCCCCCCAAGTGGCCACTACGGCCGGTGCGTTGCGGCTGGCATGCTGCACAAATCTGAACCCAGGAGCCAGGTGCTTCTTCCTGGTCTCCCATGTGGTGCAGGGCCCAAGGCCCTGGGCCGTCCTCCACTGCACTCCTGGGCCACAGCAGAGAGCTAGACTGGAAGAGGAGCAATTGGGACAGAATCCGGTGCCCCAACCGAGACTAGAACCCCGGGGTGCTGGCGCCGCAGGTGGAGGATTAGCCCAGTGAGCTGCGGCGCCGGCTAATAAATTTTTTTTTTTTTTAAAAAAAGCCCTGGCCTGAAGCACCGGCATCCCATATGGACGCCAGTTCTAGTCCTGGCTGCTGCTCTTCTGATCCAGCTCTCTTCTATGGCCTGGGAAAGCAGTAGAAGATGGTCCAAGTCCTCGGGACCCTGCACCCACATGGGAGACCTGGATAAAGCTCCTGGCTCCTGGCTTCAGATCGGCTCAGCTCTGGCCATTGCAGCCATCTGGAGAGTGAACCAGAGGATGGAAGACCTCTCACTCTGTTTCTACCTCTCTCTGTAACTCTTTCAAATAAATAATAAAAATAAAAAAAAGAAATCTTTTAAAAAACCAGAGAATTATGTTTTTCTGTTTCTTCCACTAGAGAGTAGTTTTCTTGCAGTCTTAGATAAATGTCTGTTATGTCACTACTGAACAGGTCTCTAGGACTTAGCATCATGTCTGGCACAGACCACGTGCTCTTCTTTTACATGGACCACAGTGTTCAGCACAGTGTAAGAAAGGGTGTAGGCTTTAAAAGAAAGTTACTGGCACAGTGGGTAGGCTGCTATTTGTGATGCCAGCATCCCATATCAGAGTGCTGGTTGGAGTCCCTGCTGCTTTCTTCCAATCCAGCACATGAAAGATCAGGATGGAGTTTTTGGCTCCTGGCTTCAGCCTGGCTCAAACCTGGCTGCTGGGGTCATTTGGGGAGTGGGCCAGCAATGAAAGCAATCTCTCTCTCTCTCTTCCTCTTTGATGCAATAAATTGATAGATTTTAAAATAAAATAAAACAGGGGTTGGTGTTGTGATGTAGTGGGGAAAGCTGCCACCTGCAACACTGGCATCCCATATGACGCCTGTTTGTGTCCCCGCTGCTCCACTTCCGATCCAGCTCCCTGCTTATGGCCTGGGAAAAACAATGGAAGATGGCCCAGTGTTTGGGCCCCTGCTACCCACTATCGTGGCTCCTGGCTTCAGCCTGTCCTATCCATGGCTGTTGCAGCCATCTGGGGAGTAAACCAGTAAATGGAAGCTCTCTCTCTCTGCCTCTCCCTGCCTCTCCCTGTAACTCTGACTTTGAAATGAATAAAAAATAAAATAAAAGTCACTTGTAGAAAACTTCCTGTTACCATTTAAAATATTAAGCTTATGAAATTAGAAATTTTCAAGTTTAATGTTATATAGTTGAATTCAAGAGTTAGTCTCTATAGCATGAACCTGACAAAGGCAGGTCATATTAACTTCAAATGTCAGCATATTTCCATTTTTTCCTGTCCTCTTGAGGTTTGAGACGAGGGTAGGATTAGTTAGCTGCTCTTCTGTGGTTGATATGTTAATATCATTCTTACCTGGGGACCCAGGTACTCACCAGCAGGCTGTGACACAAAGCATGGAAATGCTGCTGATTTGTCTCCAGCTCATCCCAGTCCAGCTGCCAACAGCTTGTGGGCCTGAGGATGAACGGGAGTCCATACGTCAACGACTCGCAGACCCCGCTAGACTTTAGAGCCCTGGGAAGAGACAACGGCAGTGAATATCTAGAGCCGCTACCCGGATCCACTTAGTCAGCTGAAGTCCAAGACCCAACTGTAAGAGCTTTCAGATTAGGGTCTGTGACCTACTCATCTTTGTACAGCATGGTATCTGGCACACAAAAGATTCTCAAGGCTCAGAAACCTGGGCAGGGCCCCGTGATAGAAACCAGGATGCAGTAAAAGTGGCCTTTGCCTTCCTTGCTATTCTACCCTGGATGTGGTTCCCCTGGCAGCAGCATTTCATTTACTTGGAGAAACGGGAAGAGGCAGGGCTAGAATCTACGTACCACCTGCTGCTTGAAGGTTGGTTCTGTCCTGACGCCTAAACATAGTGGTGTTCAATAGACTCCTATAAGTCATACTAAGCTGGCACCTTTCTGCTGATTTTGCTTTTCTCTCTGTTCAGGCTTCCTGGATTTCCAATCCTCCTCCAGGCCTTACAGTATTCTGCTGTAGCACTTCTTCCAGCTGCTCTCTTGGCCTCCCCATGCTGCTTAGCTGGACCTTGCTTTTTCATGCTGTGTCTGTCCTTGCCACCTTGGAACTGACTCTTGCCTGCCTGACACTTAGAGACTGCGTAGCTCCAGACTTCCTAACCATGGTACCCATAAGAACAGCATGTGCATGCACTGGGCAGGGTTCCTTGGAGCGTACTTGATCACTTGAAGCTTGTAGCGAGAGACTGATGTCTGGGAAGCCATCTGGTAGAGGGTGCTGAAGTCTCCTTTGGGGTCATCCATTCTCAAGGAGCCGTCAGCTGTGCCAGGGAGCAGGGACGGGCTGAGCAGTCGCTCTTGGAGATCACATTTCAGGCACACTACAATGAGAGTGGCGTTGGAGGAAGGACTGTGGGTCACCAGGAACCTCAGGCTACACCATTAAGAGACAACATCTGCCACCCGTTCCACCTTTACTGGGCAAGCAAGGGATGGGAGGGGGTAGGGAGTGGAGGGGACAGCACTTTTCCCTTGGGTACGGTTCCTACAGGATCTCTGTTTCTCCAAGCTACGGTGAACTTATTTTCTGGGTCTGACATGACTTTTATTTGGTTTCCTTTTGGGCTGGCTGAGCAGTTGTCTCCCAGTGAGAGAGCTGGCTTTGTGATCCAGGCTTCATGAAAGGAACAGGTGTCCTCTGGGGAGGGGGCGACTAAAGCTAAAATATAGGGGTCCTTTGGCAATCACAGAAGGAGATCTCGCCTCTGCTGCTTCCCTGTGGCTAAGCCTTAGGCCAGATGAAGACAGAGCTGGAAAGCAGAAGTCAGGCAGTCAGCTGACCGCTTCTGCTGTTTTATGGGCTCTTCTAGAGACTGGGGTGGGGGCGGGGGGACAGAAATAACTTCCTGAAAGAGTTTATTTTTTAATTTCTCAAAGAAACATGCATGTAGGACCTTCTGGGCTTCAAAACATCCCCACAGCATTATATAGCAGTTTGAGGAGGGCTAGACCAGGTGTGAGTTATTCATCTCAGGATTGCACAACTCTGTATTAAGTGTCTGTGCCAGCAGGTACCTTCACATACCACAGCATCCTGTCGCACCAGGTTTGAGTCCTTGATATTAAAGAGTTTCTCAATAAAATGTATGTGGGATTTAAATCCGTATAACAAACTTGCCAATTTGTAAATGTTGAGTACTTATGAGAAAGCTAGTAGTTGATAGTGAAATGACTACTAATTGCAATGTGAAGTAAAAACAAGAATAGAAATAACAAAGAAAACAAATCAGAGCACCCAAATAGATATCAGATTCAACTGGTCCTTCTATGTCCTGCACAGAGGACCTAGATGTTAACTCTGGGTGTTTTGGCTTGTGACCTGCTATGTCCTGGCGCCCAGAAGTCAGCAGGAGGACTCTGTCTACAGCTCCAGCTTCTCACCAGTTCCTCTGTGCTTGACTTCTCCATTTCTTAGCCTTGAGCTTTAGGACCAGACAGCTGTTTTAATCTCACTGAAGTTCTCAATTCTGGTTGCAAAGAATCATCTGGGGTCTGGGGAGTGGGATCATTTGATTTAGTGGTACTGCTTGGGGGACTGGTGTTGTGGCATAGTGGGTTAAGCTGCTGCCTGTGGTCCCTACTGCTCTGCTTCTGATCCAGCTCCCTGCTAATGTGCCTGGGAAAGCAGCAGAGGATGGCCCAAGTGTGTGGGCCCCTGCATGCACAGGGGGGAGACCTGGAAGAAGCTCCTGGCTTCAGCCTGGCCCAGCCCCGGCTGTTGCAGCCATTTGTGGAGTGAACCAGTGGATGTAAAATCCCTCTCTATCTCCTCCACCCTGTAATTCTGCCTTTGAAATAAATAAAATCTGGGGCTGACGCTATGGCGCAGAAGGTTAAAGCTCTGGCCTGAAGTTCTGGCATCCCATATGGAAACTGGTTCGAGTCCCAGCTGCTCTTCTTCCAATCCAGCTCTCTGCTATGGCTTGGGAAAGCAGAAGATGGCCCAAGTCCTTGGGCCCCTGCACCCAAGTGGGAGACCTGGAAGAAGCTTCTGTCTCCTGGCTTTGGATTGGTGTAGCTCTGGATGTTGAAGCCATTGGGGAGTGAACCAGGGTTGGAAGACCTTTCTCTCTCTTCCTCTCCTTCTCTCTGTAACTTTTTTTTTTTTTAAAGATTTTATTTATTTATTTGAGAGATAGAGTAACAGACAGTGAGAGGGAGAGACAGAGAGAAAGGTCTTCCGTCCGTTGGTTCACTCCCCAGGTGGCCACAATGGCCAGAGCTGCATCAATCCAAAGCCAGGAGCCAGATGTCCATTCCTGGTCTCCCATGTGGGTGCAGGGGCCCAAGGACTTGTGCCATCTTCTACTGCATTCCCAGGCCACAGCAGAGAGCTGGACTGGAAGAGTAGCAGCCGGGACCAGAACCGGCGCCCATATGGGATGCTGGATTAACCTACTGCGCCACGGCGCCAGCCCCTGAATTCTATCTTTCAAATGAATAAAAATAAATCTAAAAAAAAAGAAAAAGAAAATCTTAAAAAAAAAAAAGACACTTTGGGATCCCTGCATCCCACATCAGAGTGCTTGGGTTTGAATTCTGTCTCAGCACCTGATTGCAGCTTCTTGCTAATGTGCAGCTTGGAAGGCAGCAGTTGGTGGCTCAAGCAGTTGGGTTCCTGCCTCCCATACAGGAGACCTGGATTGAATTCATAGCACCTGGCTTTAGCCTGGCCCATCCCTAGCCATTGTAGGCATCTGGGGAGTGAGCTAGCAGATAGGACCCCTCTTTAATTCCATCTCTACACCTTTCAAGCCAGTAAAATAAATAAGTAAAAATTACAAAAAAAAAAAAATCACCTGAGGATCTTTAAAAAAATATTGACGTCTGGGCCCCATCCCAGGATAATTAAATCAGGTTATCAGAGGGCGGAGTCCAGGTAATGGCATTTTAAAAAGTTTCCCGTGTGGCCGGCACTGTGGCTGAGCAGCTGAAACCCTGGCCTGCAGCACCAGCAATCCGTATCGGCCTCAGTTTGAGTCCTGGCTGCTCTATTTCTGATCCAGCTCCCTGCTAATGTGCCTGGGAAAGCAGCAGAGGATAGCTCATGTCCTCGGGCCCGGGCACCCTTGTGGGAGACTAGGAAGAAGCTCCTGGTTCCTGGCTTCGGATTGGCTGTTGTGGCCATTTGGGGAGTCAACCAGTGGATGGAAGACCTCTCTGTATCCATCTCTACCTCTTTCTGTAATTCTGCCTTTCAAATAATAAATAAATAAATAAATCTTAAAAAAAAAAAGTTTCCCGTGTGATTCTTCTTACAACCAGGGCTGAGAAGTACTTGAACTGAGTCTGAGCAGTGTTCCAAAGCTGAGAAAGCTGTTTTAGAAGGGCTCAAATCCAGAGCCAGGTGTGCTTCCCACCATCCAGAGCCCAGGGGTAGTGGTGGCAGACCCCAAACCAAAGAACAGGAAAAGATACCCCCTCAGTAGCTGCGTATCAGAGGAAGGCCTCTAGGGGAAGTACCTAGAGATGGGGGAAGGGCCCTCGGCAGCCACAGGAGCAGGTGGTGTGGGGTAAAGGAGGAGTCAGGGTGGACACCTGAGGATACTCCCCAAGGGTTCTATAGTAGGGGAAAGTGGTTTTTTTGGACAGGCAGAGTGGACAGTGAGAGAGAGACAGAGAGAAAGGTCTTCCTTTTGCAGTTGGTTCACCCTCCAATGGTCGCTGCGGCCGGCACATTGTGCTGATCCGAAGCCAGGAGCCAGGTGCTTCTCCTGGTCTCCCATGTGGGTGCAGGGCCCAAGGACTTGGGCCCTCCTCCACTGCACTCCCGGGCCACAGCAGAGAGCTGGCCTGGAAGAGGGGCAGCCAGGACAGAATCCAGCGCCCCAACCAGGACTAGAACCGGGTGTGCCGGTGCCGCAGGCGGAGGATTAGCCTATTGAGCTGCGGCGCCGGCCTTGTTTTTGTTTTTGTAGTAAGATACACATCCAGAAATCCACATGTATGGCAATACATCCGTTTTAAAAATAGTTGATTTCGCCGGTGCCGCGGCTCAATAGGCTAATTCTCCACCTAGTGGCGCCAGCACACCAGGTTCTAGTCCCGGTCGGGGCGCCGGATTCTTTCCTGGTTGCCCCTCTTCCAGGCCAGCTCTCTGCTGTGGCCCGGGAAGGCAGTGGAGGATGGCCCAAGTGCTTGGGCCCTGTACCCCATGGGAGACCAGGAGAAGCACCTGGCTCCTGCTTTTGGGTCAGCGTGGTGCGCCGGCCACAGCGCGCCAGCCGTGGCGGCCATTGGAGGGTGAACCAACAGCAAAAGGAAGACCTTTCTCTCTGTCTCTCTCTCACTATCCACTCTGTCAAAAAAAAAAAAAAAAAATAGTTGATTTCAACAGTATGGTCATTACTGTTTATAATTGCAGATGGGTCACTTCTACCCTGGAGGAGGCCTGCTTTCCCCAGACCTTGTTCCAACTGCAAAGGCTTCTAGATTCCAGTGAAGACCTTCCCAGCAGATTGCTGATGGGAGTCCGGATCTAAGTTCTACCAAGCACCTGAAGATGTGCAGATTTCCGAAAAATGATTACAGATGGTGATGAACATTCTGGCTCTGACCCTGGTGCTGAAAGTCTTGGAAAGGGGGAAGAAAAGCCAAAGACATTCTACTCAGCACCACCGGCAAACGTCGTGTAACCGTGGAAGACAGGAAGGTTGCAGGTGTTCCTGGCTTTTGAGGGCCTTAGGCCTCCTAATGAGAGAAGTGAGCTTCTCTCCTTTTGTTCAGAATTGCCCCGTGAGAGGCAGGTTAGTATAAAGACAAAGGTGCAGACTCTGGAGGCAAACAGACTTGGGCTAAGTGGTGAGTGCTCTCTGGCCTGAGTAGTCAAATGTACACAATATAGATTTCTGACTCTGTGAAGAACGGGTCCTGGAATTGCCTGGCTTCAAATCCTGGCTCTGCTATTAATTTGCATTTAGCCTGGAAAAGTGTTTAATCTCTCTAAGTCTCAGTTTTCTCATCTGTAAAACAAGATAACACTGCATCTAATTGATTTTTTTTGGTAGATTTTTCACATACTAACATCTCTTTCTATATGCATTACAACTGCCATTTGCCAGGCAGACAGTTAGCCAGCTGTTCTACTTCCAATCCAGATCCCTTTTAATGAGCCTGGAGGATGGCCCAAGTGCTTGAGCCCCTGCACCTGTGCGGGAGACCTGGAAGAAGCTCCTGGCTCCTGGCTTCAGCCTGGCTCAACCCTGGCCATTGTGGCCATTTAGGGGGTAAACTAGCAGATGGAAGATCTCTCTCTCTTTCTCTGTCTCCTCCTCTGTTCTGGTAACTCTTTCAAATAAATAACTTTTTTTTTTTTTTAAAA